TATTTTGTGTGTTGCACACAAAAAAATAGGTGTAGTAAAAACTTTAATTGTCGTTTTGTATTAAAAACGTTAATTGTCGTTTTGTATTAAAAACGTTAATTGTCGTTTCGTATTTTAAATTAATTGTAAAAAAAAGTTTAAAATATACTTGACACAAACTAGGTCATTTCAGGACTAACATATGGTTCAATATTATTTCAATAATTCGCTTGCGCGTAGGGGGCCTTAGCAGGGTGAGGACCCGGAGAAAACCCACAAGGTTGGAAAAGCGACCCTACTCCTTGTCACGTACAACCATGACAGCTGACTCAATGACAGACCTTATGATACAATGCACAAGCACTAACCATTCGGCCACCCACCCCCCTTTGAAGAAGGGGAGGGGGGAGTCTTCTAACAGTTGAAAAAGAGCTCCTCTTATTAACTATAAACTGCAACTATAACAAAAGAAACTAGAAATTTATTTTTTTTTTTTCATAATAAAATAAGTTGAGCATACACTGAATGTTAGTATTTTTGTATTTTATTATTATATTTATAAACATTGACTAATTATCTACCATGTATCGTCATCCCCCGACTATTTTAATAAAATACATTTATATAAATACACAGTTAGAAGCAGAGGTAGATAGATGTCGTACTGTCTAGATCTGGTATCGTCCTGGTGTACAGACGTGACGTGACGAGATGCGACGTAATATTACAAATATAACCATATTACACCAATCTCCAAGCACCATTTTATTAGAACTAACCAGGCCTAAAATATTTTCAAGAATCTCAAAATATGATTCGTTGCTGAGGCTTTCGTCCATCTGTAAATATTTGCCAAAATGTCCATTTTTATGAACTTCTGTCAAAGTATATGTGACGGAATGAAATGGGGTTTAACATCCCACTGTTCTGCACCGACTGGGCTAATGAAGACGGGTTTACGCCATACAGTGGGCTATGAGTGACATTTTGCAGGCACTGTGGCATTTCAGCGTGTTTGCCCATTCACGTTAATTAGAGTGTCTTACGACCTCGGCCACTGCAGCTCTCAAAGTGTAAAAAAAGTGCAGTTCCTTCAACAATAACATTTCGAGGCCTCATAAATTGCATCTTGGGGAGAATCTTACTGAATACCTGAGAAAATCGATAAATTTCTTAGGCCCGGTAATTTGTCAGTTTGAAAATTTACATTCGAGAATTCATTCACACCTCATCAAAATTATACAAAAATTTTATTTGGGTCGATTGATATTGTATGCTATACACCAGTTAAATACCGTCCGTACGTGAAACTACAGGCCGATGTTCCATTTCAAACGGCCATAAGATTCATGTTTTTAAAAAGTAAAATTACATTTTAATTTCTTAACCATCCATATATGGTAAGGTAAAAAGACTAGGTGCTTGTTAGAAAAAAAAAATTGAGTCTTGCCTAACGGACAACCACAAGACTGACATTTAATTAAACGCTATACAAAACTTCACACCCACTCTATGTACACATGTTAATACTTCCCATTGGAATGGCTGACATATATATACAGTTTTACGTCTGTCTTCCATGTACACGTTTTTACGATGTTTCCGTGCGCATTTTCGACAGCGACAAAGTCGGTCTAATGCCGATGTATTAGGACCGTTTCCTTTATAACCCTCGAAAATGCGTACATGGACAACAGACTTTACAGCAGAAGAGATGAGTAACTCCCGACCAAAACAAAACAGGAGTTATCTCCCCTTAAGTAAGGTGCTTTTATAATTCGTCTTGTGACTACAATATTGTTATGCTTTTTAAATTAATTAAGCTACAAAACAAACTAAAGAATGTTTATAGTTGGTTCCTCCACGGTCACATACACAATATGTATTATGCCTACAATTTAAATCTCCTCACAATGTTACAAGTTGCCAACACATCGATATTGAAAATACAAGATTTTTGGAAATATTTAAAAAGTACATGTATACAATATTTTTGAAAATATTGAAAAGAAACGGACTATACATATATATCTTTATTTTATAAAATATAAGAAACGAGTTTTATGGTCGTACTTCTTGAGAGAAAAAAATACTAAATCTATAAACTATACAAAGAAAGACACGAAAAAATCTACGATGTGGATAATGATAATATTGGCAAGCGTGGTCCTTGGTTAAAAAATATAAAAAAAAAAGAATAAATCTCCTCGATTTCTTGTTTACAAGATATTTAATTTGACAATTTACAAGTTTAAGGCTTTCTATATATAAATAATATATATCTCTTGGTCTATATACTCCCATGATATTTCTACTTGAATCATTATGAAATGCATAAAATTTTTAAACAAACATAATTCTTTCAACAGCTTATTCCTGTAACTTTTTCTAATAATAACCAAAGATCTTGGGTCTTATTTCATAAAATTCTTAAAATCACAAATTTAAGCTTGACAATCTGTGTTAATCAATTGAGACGGACTATGGTAACCAATGGAGATCAATGGTAGCCAATGGAGATCAATGGTAACCAATGGAGACCAATGGTAGCCAATGGAGACCAATGGTAGCCAATGGAGACCAATGTTACAATTGATTTTATCTATTTTTTGAATCGAGACCCAGATTATCGCCCCTTCCTGCCAACTGGTCAGTTTTATTATATCATTCACACACAAGAAGTACTATCAATTATACATACACATTAATAGAAAATATATTTACAAGACAAATGGCAGAAAAAATCAGGTGGGAGGGGTGGGGTCGCTATCATATATAATTCCTGATCTGTATAGAAAACTGACCATTAAAATAATTAGCGTTCGTTCTTAATCTCTTCTCACAAAAATATTTGACTAGTTTAAGACAATGACTCTTATACTACATTAACCTTACAACTAATCAAGTTAGGACATTTAAAAGGGAATGGAACGGGAGTGGGGGGGGGAACTCTCGTAAATGCAACTCAACCAAATAAACGTCCATTTTCCTTAAAACTAATCAAGTTAGGACATTTAAAGGGGAATGGAACGGCGGGTGGGGGGACTCTCGTAAATCCCCCTCAACCAAATAAACGTCCAATTGACAGTATCCCACACTACTAATAGGTAATTTGACGTGTTATATTCGATCCACCCCTTTAGGTATTTTAAAATGAAAGTCTTTATTGAAGACCTTAAACCAACTAAATCGTTACATATGCACCAAAAACTTTGATTTAATCAATTTAGTTTAATTCATTAATTACTTATTGACTGATTGGCTAGAATGATATGGTAATTATATCATTGAATTCTGAATGACCTCTTTTGTTCCCATCGTAGGTAATTTATATATATACAATAAACACGATGCACACTGCATAGGTGCAATAATCGGGCCAATAGTCACCGGTCTTACATTAGCTAAAGTTTCATTTCATATAGATTATCACTCAATTTCATCATTCTAAATTATTATTATTAACAAATAAATCGTGATGCGCTTAATAGTCCAGCAAATTATTATTATTCATATACAAATCGTATACCATGTTAAATAGAAGTCCAGCACAGTCGACTTAACGATGACCAAAAAAATTATTAATCACAAATAAATCATGAGGCACGGGTCGACTGTACCAAGATCTAAAAATATGCAGTTCAAAGGATGAATTCTGCAAAACGGAGAGCTTGAGGTATCGTGGGTCTATATCTAGTATTAAAAGGTTTTTACGATGCAAGCTTTCACGGGCTGGGAGCTACAGTAAATACCCTGAGAAAATCAACATTAGCTAATGAAAGAACGTTTCACATAGTCCTTAGTACTTTGCATTGTCAGTGAGTTTTAAACATATACATTTAAACTAAAGTTCATTTTCACGTGAAGCCATGGGCCTCAATAATACATAAAACACATACAAAATACCAATATAAGGCCATAGAAAAACAAAATATTCTGATTCACGGATAATTCTGCGTCGCTTTAATAAAAAGATGCTTGACCTGTTTATATTTCACAAACTAAAGACAGCCTCACGAATTACCGCACGGAAATGTTTTCTCTGAGTTACACACGGTAACAAAGGTAGAAATGTACCGTAGGCTCAATTATCAAATATGAAACCTGATAATGGTAAATGACAGTCATAAAAGATACTGGATAATCATACAATCACTTAACGTGATGAGGTGAAATGACGTGATGTTTATGAGATGTCATTTAGACCAATAGCGATACCGTGACACCCATCTGCGGAATCAGAATATTTGTTTTGGTATGGTTTTTATCAGTCACTACTACTATAAATACATTCTTTTATTTTATAAACAACCCATTCATACCATATATAGAATATACTACACACTATAATAATAATAATAATTATTACCCCTGAAAGTGAAAGTAGATCAATTTGCTTGTTGTTTTAATTACTGGTCCGTATCCTTGACAACCATTGGAAGGTTTTAATAATTTAATACATATTCCAGAAGAAAAATCTAAGAGACCATCACAGAGATTTCCACCCCTTCAGATGACAAATGAACCAATCTGTACATTTCATTTGTGTACATTGAAGGCCAATCTGATTACAATACAGATCTATATTTCGTTTCGTTTTTTATAATTTTCATGGCTTCTACTACATGAAGATCTGACCAGTTGTAGTGGAAGGTCGCGTCAGATGTCGTACAAGCAGCTTTTGACCCTATGATGTCAGACATTTGATTAACCAATCAGCACTGATGTTTCTAGTGGATTACCCACACTTCCGTGCACCACAAGCCAAAAGCTTGCCGTAACAGATCTTTTCATTGACTAATCCCTCACATCATCCAGTACACATCAATGATAACAACTCTTCCAGATCCTAGTGTAGTAAAGACAAGTAAAAACGAAATTTTGAACTATAAATTAACGACACGAAATAAGATCTGTGTTTTAAATAAATTGTTTGAAGGCGTGTTTATTTTAAGCTTTGCGACAAGACTCCTTTCACCAAGAATACTGTAGAGATCAATGCAAACAAACATGCCATCACAAAAAGTTCTAATATATTTTTATTTCATATCTTGTCTGATACCCGATGCCAGTAAAATCGTGGCAAAAGTCAAATAAATATTGTACTCGTGAACATTCAATCTGTAATGGTTTCAACTTCTTTAATTTGGGATTTAAATTTAGAGTTTAGATTTATCAAAATTAACCCTTATTTGTACCCCTGCGCACCAATGAGGTCATGACCTTTTAATTCATTAGATACATAGTATCATTTATTGGAATTTACGTTAATAACAACTGGCTTATTCACGAAAACTAAAATTAATTAAGTAATTGCATTGGCCAGAAGTTAACCATTTGATACAAATTTTAATTTTGACCAATGAAATGCCTGCTTTCTAAAATATTAATCTAGCCTTTCCAATGGCCAAAAGTTACAATTTTGATACAAATTCTAAAAATAATTTAGCTTCAGTTTACGAGAATAACATGCCTGGTTGTTGTAGACTACATATTTTTTCAAGCGTCTGGTTGGTGTAGACTACATACAAATATATATATGTCAACACACAGTGATGAACTCGGAACCCAATAAAAACACAACCAATCCCTTGACCCTCGTCAGTCACAAAATATATATATATATTTACATTTCCTACAAACAGGCTAACCATAAACAGTCCAAATATTTTCACCCAAAAAAAAAAAGAAAAAGAAAAAATCCTTCACCATGTTATAGTAAGACACACCTACAGACAAAATTCTCCGTAAATCTGTACACAGGATTAATATTTCATATATCACAACATTCAACCTACTAACTTCGGGCCTCGTATTATTTCCAATTTTAACATTTCACGTTACACTGACAACTCCTTGCTTGAATTACCTTATAACATGACACTATCATTTCACAGACAAAGTACATCTTCTTCGCTTTCTTTCTGTTTTCTCACATTTCAGGGTAGGAAATGAGTGGGTTACTATTTCGCTGTTCCGTTAAGAAATATCATTAGTGCGTCTCGTGAATTGTGTATTACTAAGGCCTCCAATTCAAGGAGTCAGAGTTCGTAACGTAAAATATTAATAACAGCCTCTTCTAAGTTACTACATAAAATTCAAATAAACAATCCTAAAATTAAAAATCTTGTCTGGAGTGATCCTAGTAACGTGGGAAAGATGCCTTTTCTTCTCGGTCTTCCTTTGCCATATTTAATCCATCATCACCATGGATACCGGTAGGCCTACAACAAGTCTTGCGGATATTAAGAACTCTCGCGAAATATTCACACACGCAAAACCAGATGACATTAATAATCTGAGCAATATGAATAAACAAAAAAAAAACAGCACCTTCACTTGCTCTCTATTTTAAATATCCACCAATTGAATCTGTCCTTATGACATAATAGTCAAAATAACCAATCAAAACATTCATTATAAATGTCTATGGCTTTGCGTAGCAACGGTTCATTACATGGCTGATGTGCCAAGTCTATACTGGCGTGATATCCATTTTTGAACTATTTTTGGTTTCATTCACCGTCTTTCATTTTTCACTGTGGTTGAAGATTTGGATTAAAAGACACGACACAATTCAGTTTTCAGTCCGTTATCAACCACGATCTACATTTGTTTAACGAGCCAATCAGCAGTGATTTAACAACCATACGCTAAATTTGATCCTCTTGCTGATTTATTCGAAGTACTGGAACCTTGTTGAGAATGACTTCTGGCCGTTTTTCGACCTTTCACACTGAAATTATGAAACAAATATCAGGTTAAATTCAAGATAGTCATGAACATAATTCGTGAAAACCCAAATGCTAACGATCTTTTTAACGAACCCCACAACATGTTTCCACAGTTTTTCAACTTAAGACCAAGACAATTGGGATTTTGAATTTACACTATTTATCAAAAATTACAATAAGTTTAAAAAAAAAAAAAATTGTAATTTAAAGATACATTAGTTAAGAGTTTAATAAAGATTTGGTCATTCTTGCTATAATAATTCAAAAATAGATGATAAAAAAAGGAAATTTCATTCAAATTACTTCACTCTGAACCAAATTATCACTGTACTTTTAACAAGATGTGTGCATAGTGGTAACCAGGGCACTGGTATATTTGCGACTTAGTCTCCCTTTCCCATTTTTAAATTAAATTTTTAAATGGCGAACTGTTCTAATCTAGTTAAAATCTTGAGTATCCGATGCCATCGAGAGTTGATTATGGTCTTGTTTTGTTAATAAATGTCTCATTAATAATTTAGATAACATTTCAGGCCTAAAGAAGGACCTGCAATAGGCAGATTTAGCTCTTGCATAATGTATGTTTAATAATAAAAATAAGTCAGAGAAAAGATACAAGACCTGATCAAGTATGACTGCCTAACTTACTTCTGGAACGTTTTAAAGGAGAGGGAATTAGGATTTAAACACAGAGGCACTCGTTTGTTTTTCTGTTGTTGCTCGGATATAAATTTGTGGAGTTTTTCTGAAAAGAAAAATACAAGTTTCAACAGAAATGAAATGAAAATAAATGGGGTTTTATGTCCTACTGTTCTGCTCTGACTGGGCAAATTTAGATGGGCGTACGACATGCAGTGTGCTATTACAGAAATTTTACCCGGATAGCGCCACTATTGCCTGATCTGATATCGAATTCCAACTGACAAGGGCTCTTTTACGTGCGCCAATGTGTACACAAGACCTCAGTATTTCGTCACATCCGAAAGACTTTCTCCATTGACAACATGGAACAATGCCAGAAAATTCTGACACACTTTTTCGCTCAATACTTGAATCTAACACGGGACCACCAGGTTAGCGAGCCAACATCTTACTCATTGAGCCACTGCAACTCTCTCCTTTTCACGGCAAGGTAGAACTATTATCATCCCATATAATAAATAAATAATTATTCGCTCACCTTTGACCTTTGAAACAGACGTTAATTCATCTTCAAATGTATAGCTAAAAGGCGAGGAGCACACTGGATCAAACTCAGTGGTATAATGTCGGCCATTGGCAGAGTTTGTACAACATTTACACATACAAGAATGATACCTTAATCGACCTTCATCTAAGAAGGGATGAGCTAATGCATCACTTGCACTTATCCTTTTATCCTGAAAATAAAAAAACAAAACATATTGAAATGAAACTGGGTTTTTAACATCCTACTGTTCTGCAACGAGAGAGAGAGAGAGAGAGAGAGAGAGAGAGAGAGTTTAACTCCACACAAACTAGGGCATTTCGGACTAACACATGGATCAATTTTATTTCAATAATTCGCTTGCGCATAGGTTTTTTTTTTAGCAGTAGAAGGAAACCGGAGAAAACTCACGAGGTTGTACAGGCAACCCTATTCCTTGTCATGTACAACCGGGGAATTGAAACCACGCCAGGTGACTCAATGACAGACCTAATGATACAACACGCACAAGCGAACCATTCAGCCATCCCCCTAACCCAAGAGAGAGAGAGAGAGAGAGAGAGAGAGAGAGAAATGGGGTTTAACGTCCACTCGACACAAACTAGGTCATTTCGGGACTAACACATGGTTTAATTTTATTTACATAATTCGCTTGCGCGTAGGGGTCTTTAGCAGTGGGAGGAAACCGGAGGACCCGGAGCCAAGAGAGAGAGAGAAAGGGAGAGGGTGGGGTTTAAGGTCCACTGGACACAAACACCTCTTGTATGTGACATGTGACAAGGAGTATGGTCCTGTCCATCCATACAAAATTTTGTTTCCTCCCACTGCTAAAGACCCGTAGGTGGAAGCGAATTATAGAAATAAAATTTAACCATATGTTAGTTCTGAAATGACCTAGTTTGTGTCAGTGGATATTAAACCCCATTTCTCTCTATTTTTATTAGGGGTGAAATGAGGCCAGTCCATATTTATGTGTGACAAGAGAGTCAACTTTTATTCTGCCATATTGTTCCTTTAATAAAATATTCTCTGTGTCTCAAGCAGACACATCAGATGTTTATCAAAGAAATTCAATCAAATTCCATCTTGTTAAGTTCTCTTTATAAAACAAAAAAAAACTCTGTCAATAATTCACAAATAAATGTTTCTAAATTTCCATTGGTTGTCTGTCGACATCGATTTCATAATAGCACAAGATTCAAATTATTTGATCACTGAAGCGCGTTAATGTTGTATGCTTTTAATTCTATCGTTCAAAATCCTGACCCAGACAAAATAAAAATCAATTGTTTTGCTATCATCAATGTGCGGTGTACGATTTGCAATCTGAGTAGTTTTGTGTTGTTGCAATTGTTTTACGAATGCTGATTATGCAGCAGACGTGAGTTAATGAAGTTAAATTAGTTCCTGACATGAAAGAATATCAAAATCTACTTGTATCTCTTCGCTCTATTTGTTTTTATGCACGAAACCAGTTCTATTTGTTAAATCTGATTTAATTAGAGGGAGAGAGAGAAAGAAATGGGGTTTAACGTAAACATGACACATACTAGGTCATTTCGGGACTAACATATGGTTCAATTTTATTTCAATAATTCTCTTGCGCGTAGGGGTCTTTTTAGCAGTAGTTGTCACGTACAACCTGGGAATCAAAACCACACCAGTTGACTCAATGACAGACCTTATGATACAGTGCACACACACTAACAATTCGAACATCCAACCCCCCTGCATTAGTTCTATTGTTAAATCTTAGTTTCAAATCTTAGTTAAAGTTCCTCAGATCTTCAAACACCAGGGCCCTTATTCACGAAAACTTAAACTAAGATACAATCAAAATTTTAAGAAATACTGCAATTCGATTGGCTGACCAGTAAAATCAATTTGTATATATATTTAATGTAGTTGCAGTATTTCTTAAAATTCCGGTTGTAACTTAGTTTAAGTTTTCGTGAATAAGGGCCCAGGTATTTTTACCTGATTACATCAGATTTATTAAAACATTTATAAATCATTGTAGACAGTAGACAGGAAGAAAAAAATAGAGTTTAATATTCTCTCGACACAACCTAGGTCATTTTACGACTAACATATGCTACAATTTGTGAAATAGCTTTAATATCAATTCCACACAAACTAGGTCATTTCACGACTAACATATGCTACAATTTGTGAAATGGGTTTAATATCAACTTGACACAACCTCGGTCATTTCACGACTAACATATGGTACACTTTGATTACATTTGCTTGCTCGTAGTGGTCTTTAGCAGTGGGAGGAAACCAGAGGACTCAGAGAAAAACCACGAGGTTAGGCAGTCCACCCTACTTCTTGTCACATTCAATCTGGGAATCGAAACCACGCCACTTGACTTATGATCTCAAGTGTCTACGATAGACCATTCGCCCACCCAACTCCCCCAGTTTTCCTGGAACATAGTCTGGCAAACTCAGTGATCCCAAGCCTTGAATTCACACTTTGTCAGATATAATCTCTCTCGTGTCTGTCATATTGTAGTGTCAGACATTTTATCAGATAGCATTAAAATCCCTATTTCCAGCCCTGAGGGAACCAATCGAAATTTATTTCAAGAAATTTTAAATATGCACAAATTTAACGACAGGTACTAGTTCAGTTGTGTCGGACATTTTATCAGATAGCATTAAAATCCCTATTTCCAGCCCTGAGGGAACCAATCAAAATTTATTTCAAAAAATTTTAAATATGCACAAATTTAACGACAGGTACTAGTTCAGTTGTGTCGGACATTTTGTCAGGTAGCATTAAAATCACTATTTCCAGCCCTGAGATAACCGATCGAAATTTATTTCAGGAAATTTTAAATTAAGTACTTACGGGATCGAAAACCAGCATTCTACATAATAAATGAACAGCTTCGTGCGTGGCCTGATTGGATAGTGTATATAAAGCAGCTAATGAAGGATGTTTATGAGCTTGTCGAAGAATATGAGCCTTAGCACCCTCACATGCTGTTTTCATATCATGTAGAGCAGGAGTTCCGAGTAAATCCGTAATGAGATCAAGCTAAAAATAAACAAAAAATAAAAAATTATAAATGACATGCGGGAATTAAATTGTTATTATTATTATAGTATATATTTATAGTGCGCCCTTTCATATAATATGTTCAAGGGCACTTTACAAAGTGACAATTTAATCATAAATAAACAACAAGATTATGGACATGTTGACAGTTAAATATGAAAAATAGCGAGGTGCACCTATTATTCTATATTTAGAGCATATGCTTCATGACATACAAAATACATGTAGTTTAAAGTCTATTCAAAAATAAAGGGAATGGAAGCTTTTTGACGCTATTTCCTTAAGCTAATACAAGACTTCTGATGACCTAATTCTTGCCTCCATTAAACCCAACTAAAATGAGAGAGCACGAGAGAAACTAGGTCATTTCGGGACTAACACATGGTTCAATTTGATTTCAATAATTCACTTGCGCGTATGTGTCTTTAGTAGTGGGAGGAAACCAGAAACCCAGAGAAAACCCACGAGGTTGGACAGGCAACCCAACTCCTTGTCATGTACAAGCAAGGAATCATCTTTAAAAAAATAATCTAACCTAAATGACATTACATACAGAATTATCTGATGTGTGACTATGATGAAGACATCTGGATGGGTTTACGATCAACTTATAAATATAATCAAATGAGTGCTATATAATCCCTGTGTCATGATATTTGGTGATTAGAATCATTAAGTGAAGCAAGATTAACTTTTATCAAGGATGGCCATAAAATACAAACAAAGCCTAGTAAAAATATTGAAATCATTGTAAATAAAGGTTGTATTTTCTTTTATTTATGTTTTTTTGAACACAGGTAGTCGAGTCACATGTAGAAATATTTATAATATGTTGTCATGGTTATTTGTATTTATGTTTTTTGAACGCAGGTAGTAAAATCACATATAGAATTATTTATATGTCGTGATGGTTATTTAGTTCTATTTTTAATTCTTACTTCTTTATTTATCCCTATAAACAGTATACACCCACCACGCATACCAACAACTTAATAATCTGTTGGGTTTTTTTTTATCAAAACATAATATTTTGATTTAATTCTATTTTTAACTGTTACTCCTCTTATATTATCCACATAAACAACCTCCACACCCCATCGAGAAACAAGGTTTAACATCCAATCGACTCAATAATTCGCTTACGCATAGGGGTCTTTAGCAGTGGGAGGAAACCGGAGGACCCACGAGGTTGGACAGACGACCCTACTCCTTGTCACGTTCAAGTGGGGAATCAACTCCATGCCACTTGACTCAATGATGCACACGTTAAACCGCTAGATCACGCATTCTTCCCCACCCCCACAAATACGTACAATATAATAATTTGTTGGGGGGGCTTTTCATAAAAACATAATATCTAAAGATACATTATGTAAGATTTAGATAAAGAACTGATCATTCTTGCTATGATAGTTCGAAAACAGATAATGTAAAATGAATAATTTGAAAATTTCATTCAAATTACTCTATTGCAAGCGAAGATATTAGCCTTTGAAGGTTTGACAGACGTGTGCAATAATTTCAACCACCGTACTGGTTGATCGAAGCTAAGTCTCGGTCCTCCATATTTGATTAAATCAAAATATCGCTGAACCATTCTAATCTATTTAATATCGAGAAATCTGATGCCATCGAGAGTTGATTATGGTCTGGATAAGTCGATTAATGTCTAATTAATACTTTAGAAAACATTTCAGGCCTAAAGAAAGACATGCAATAGGCAGATTTAGCTCTTGCATAATGCATGTTTAATAAAAGATAAATTTCCTTTTTAAAATTAGTCATTAACTATTTTATTTAAATTACAGTGTTAGTCATGATTTAAATCTTAAATTATTTCAGAATTAATTTATCAAGAATAATTATAAATCAAGAAAATTAAAAAAAACAACAACATCTCCAATTTTTTGTGTATATTATGATACAATCTCAAAATATCTGATAAAATGCAAATGTATTCACACAAATTTTAATCCTCGGCTGTGTATTCATTTTTTTCGATTCTTCTGACATAAAAAATAAATAAATCTTTTTATCAATAATTAAAAACATTAAATTAATTGTTATTAAGTATAAGTACAAAAGATTTATTATAAAATTTATTTTGTTGAAAGAAAAAAAATATACAGTAATAAATTTTATGTTAAAGATACCTTATGGGAGATTAGATAAAGAGCTGGCAGTTCTCACTATAATAGTTAAAAACTAGATAGTGTAAAGGGAATTTGATGAAAATTTCAGTCAAATTGATCTACTCTGAACCGAGAAATAAAGCGATTGAAATTTCAGCCTAGCCTCGATCATCATTACTAAAGTCGATACGATAAAAACCATTTCATGATTAAATCATGAATGAAAGTTGAGCAGCAAATCAGATCCTAATCCAAGCGATGCCATCTAGAGTTGATTATGGTTTGGATAAGTTAATTAATGTCTAATTAATAATTCAGATAACATTTCAGGTCTAAAGAAAGACCCGCAATAGGCAGATTTAGCTCTTGTATAATGTATGTTTAACAGTTTTGTTGAGAAAAATGTTTCTAACACCAACCAACCTTATAATAGAAATGGGGGTTCAACGTCCTACTTTTCTGCACTGACTGGGCTAATGAGAGAGAGAAATGGGGTTTAACGTCCACTCGACACAAACTAGGCCATTTTGGGACCAACATATGGTTTAATTTTTTTATTTCAATAATTCGCTCGCGCGTAGGGATCTTTAGCAGTGGGGGGAAACTGGAGGACCCGGAGAAAACCCACGAGGTTAGACAGGCAACCCTACTCCTTGACACGTACAACCGGGGAATCGAAACCCCGCCAGTTGACTCAATGACAGACCGTATGATACAGCACGCGCTTGCTAACCATTCGGCCATCCAACCCCCCGAGTGGGCTAATGAAGACTGGTATACAGTAAACAGTGTGCTATGACCGTGTGTAAATGATAAAGTCCTACTTGTCTGCATCGACTGGGCTAATGAAGAATTACAAGAATTTAACTTGTCACATCAGATTAAATTAAAACAATTCAAACTTTCATTTTGACCTACATCAATGATTTAATTACTTCTCTCCATTATTTTATTCTGAACCTATCAATAGATTTTGAGTTTGGCCTGTGGCAGTACTCCATTAGACATACACCAATTAATACCTTTTGAGTCAGGCCTATTATTCCATGTTGCAAGGAAGGTCTATTATTACATGTTGCAAGGAAGGCCTATTATTCCATGTTGCAAGGAAGGTCTATTATTCCATGTTGCAAGGAAGGCCTATTATTCCATGTTGCAAGGAAGGCCTATTATTAAATGTTGATAGTTTTGTAAGAAATATATATTAAAACAGTAGAAAAGATTAATTATTATTGCGAGGAGAAGGCAGAAGAGAATTAATTATCTTGGGGTTAGGGTAATATTTGAGATATGGACAGATGTTTTTATATATTCCTTCGATATCATCAACAAAAGATTCGCATTCACCCATTATTATCAGTTATCAGCTGTTCGTTGGGAGGCCATATTATACACGCCAGCTTAGCCAGAACTAATTATGCGAAATCACAAGACTCTTGCACTAGCCATTAAGGAAATTACTAATCCTACTATCTCACGTTAATGGAATCAATCGGAGCCCTGCAGCCATTTTTCTCAAATTTCCGACAAAGCTCAACGACTCACAGAACAGAACAAGAGTACCAGAAGAGAGTGAGAGAGAGAAAAAAAAATATGCTGGAGGTTTGCTGAAAATACATGCTGTATAGAATGTGTCTGAAGCCTACTTATTAATTATTTCTCGTTCGAACATTCTTTGTCTTTTAGCCTCAAGATATAAATGGAGATTTTTGTGTGTAGAAGTTTGTTATTTGTGTCGGCAGTGAACCTATAGAATAACGTTCATGTATTGTCTATAGAAGACAAAAGACACTATAAAAACTTAAAACTATGAAATATAAATTACACAAATAATAATTCAAATTATTTTTCATTCCTATTCAAAAAAAAAAAAAAAATTTGAATTTAATTCAATTCATTCTCTAGCGGATTTTTAATTCAATGCGTCTACAACAGACTTGAATTAAAGTACTTTCAGCCTTTCATAATTCACACAATAAAATAATAAATCAAGTCCTTTTTTCTCATTAATCAGGGAATATTTTTGTATGACGGTGTCGAGATTTTGGTGAATGACAATAAAAGATGGAGATTATATTAAGAAATATTTTGTTTTATTAGTTGCGGAGGGATATAAAAGGTCTATAGAGCTCGATTTATATGGTCTATCAGACAATAAGCTTATTAACGTCCAGGGCAGTAGTCTTATTGAGGAGATCGAACCCAACCAACGGCACAGCATATTAAGACAACACATCCGTTAATAATAACCCTTCATACCCCCGGGACAATAAAACAAAGATGGGGGGAAAATCCCTGTCATTTTGACTCTTCTTAACTCCTGGTCGACCTTTGACCTGGAGGACATGTTACCATGGGAACTATTAACATAATTGATTGATAGTAAAGAGAAGAGGAGGGAGTCTTTGTTTCTGGTCCGAGTTGACTCATTGTTCCGGGGGAAAACATGTCATACAATTCACCCACATCATTCGACAACAGAGACGACTGCAAATCTCTGATAAAGCTAATAACTAAAGCCCCCCTCTTTTTTTCTACGATATTTTTTTTTTTTTGAACAAATAAACTGACAGATTGATTTTTTGCGACGGTATGAATGCCACGTCTGATAATGCAGATGAGTAAACACTAATAACAAGACAATGACATCGTATGAATGTACGGAACACGAATCTGTCAAAACTCCCGTCTAAATGTATTCTTCACAACTATTGTTCCATAAATAAACAATCGTCAGACTTCAAATTAAATATTGGTTCTTTTTTTTTTTTATATCTTATTAAATCTATAAATAACTTTATATTTACAAACACAAAATAGAATATAAATAATTAAGATATTATAACAGTTTAAACTCTGGAGAGAGAGAGAGAGAGAGAGAGAGAGAGAGAGAGAGTAACTTCCACTGACACAAACTAGGTCATTTTGGGACTAACATATGGTTCAATTTTATTTCAATAATTCACTTGTGCGTAGGGGTCTTTAGCAGTAGAAGGACCTGGAGAATATGCACGAGGTTAACAGGCGACTCTACTCCTTGTCACGTACAACCAGGGAATCAAAACCATGCCAGTTGACTCAAACACAGAGCTTATGATACAACAGGTGCATGCTAACCATTCGGTCATTCAACCCCATTGAATATTGTCAAGCACCGGTCCATATCTTTCTATAACATTACACTGTAACATTGGTACCATTTAATCTTGCGTTAATAGCGTTAATTTCTACTCTGTGTCCAATTATTCATAATTGATTATTGATGTATAATGTTTAATATTTGTACAGGGGTCAAAACTGTGCTTTTAGAATGAAGATTCCAATAGATCACTGGTCTGACATTTTAAATTTTGTAAAATATTTTAATTATTTCAAATTTCATTTTATTGTAATCTTATTTTAAAGAATGGATAGTTTTATTGAGTTGAAAATAAGTAAAAAGTTCATATTATCTATTCTTAAATAGATAATCTGAAATTTGGATTTTTTCAAATTCTATTTGATTGTAACTTTATTTTATTTTTAAATGGATAGTTTTATGCATCAAATTTATTGCAAAAATAATTATTTATCTTAGATAAAATTGACAAAAAATAGAGGGTTGAAAAAAGTTTAGAAGTAATCTAGATTATCAATATAGAAAATCTTGGCTCGATACAGTCTTGAGATTGATGTTCCTGGATATAAATAAGAGAGAGAAAAATGGGGTTTAACGTCCACTCAACACAAACTAGGTCATTTGAGGACTAACAGATGGATCAATTTTATTTCAATAATTTGCTTGCGTGTAGGGTTTTTACCGGAGGACCTGGAGAAAACCCACGAGGTTGGACAGGCGACCCTACTCCTTGTCACGTACAACCAGTGTTTAGAAACCACACCAGCTGACTCAATGACTGACCTTATGATACAATTCGCACATGCTAACTATTCGACCATCCAACCGCTCTCTGGATAGATATAAAGATGGTGGCCTGGATATATCGAAAGATAGTAATGTTAACTTTTGGATAAATAAGTTTTTTGTTTTTAGCAACTCTACTTCTGGAAAATCAAAGCAGAGTAGCCGTAAATTTTGAATAAATAAATTATTTTGTTTTCAGCAAGTCTAGTTTTTATCATTTGATCCAAAAATCAATATTTGTCTTTTATTCGGAGACCTTTCCAGAGATGTTCAGCAGCACGATGCACTCAACAACTTTTACAATTTTAAAAAAATTTTTTTTACATAACCTTTGCCGATCAGATTGCAGCCTACTAAAAACTAATAATAAAAAAAAAACTTGTTATCTGGGATAGAAATGAGCTGAACGTAGATTGGCTGTAATCATATTCCGTTATTGCATGATGGTTTATATGTACGTACGGAAAACGAGTAACTGTAGTTTATTTATTATTAATGTATCCTCTTCTAAATCTACAAGTGTACGATTCTACTGGACGAGATGGCCATGCGATACGTCTATAAATAAAATAACGGGAATGGATCATATTTCTTCTCTTTAAAGATGCATTATGTAAGAGCTAAATCTGCGTCCGGTCTTTCTTTCGGCTTAAGATGTGATGAGAGAGAGAGAGAGAGAGAGAAAGAGAGAGAGAGAGAGAGAGAGAGAGGTTTAACATCCACTCGACTCAAACCAGGTCATTTCGGGACTAACACATGGGTCTAGTTTTTTATTTCAATAATTTGCTTGCGCGTAGGGGTCTTTAGCAGTAGAAGGAAACCCGAGGACCCGGAGAAAACCCACAAGGTTGAACAGGCGACCCTACTCCTTGTCACGTACAACTGGGGAATCGAAACCACGCCAGTTGACTTAATGACAGACCTTTTTTTGATTAAAGTTCTTTTTCTAACAAGTCTGACAGAAAGTTTTGCACGTTACTAATTTTAACTGATAATCTTTCAGCATAATTTTTAAGGTTTTAACTTCAATGATATCAATGCCTTTAATTTAATTGTGTACACGTATAAAATTTAGTTTTTTCACATTATTTGAATTGATATTATGACTTGATAACTAGATCTATTGAGTCGAACCCAGGTGAATGTTTTAACCACACCCAGTTTGTCACCTGGTGTAAAACCTCTTCTATTGATTGAAATTTTTATCAATTAAAATATAAACTCAAACTTATTTCATGATTTAAATAAAACCCAAACTTACTTCATGATTTAAATAAAACCCAAACTTACTTCATGATTTAAATAAAACTCAAACTTACTTCATGATTTAAATAAAACCCAAACTTACTTCATGATTTACATAAAACCCAAACTTACTTCATGATTTAAATAAAACCCAAACTTACTTCATGATTTAAATAAAACCCAAAATTACTTCATGATTTAGATAAATAGAATAATAAAAAACTTTCCTATCATGGATTTTAACTTTCAAATCATGTGAGAACAAAAAAATTGTATTTATAAAAAAAACTCTACTCAAACGTTTATAGTTTAATTTTCAATATCTATCAAGAGTTTTATATTATGAATTTAAATATAAAAAATATAACATTATTAAACATACATTATGTAAGAGCTAAATCTGCCTATTGCAGGTCTTTATTTAGGCCTGAAATGTTATCTAAATTTTTAATTAGACATTAATTAACTTATCCAGACCATAATCATCTCTCAATACCATTACATGTATTAGCCTGCGATATTTCCTGGATTAGAATACATTTTATGACGGATAATTAAACGTAAAAATGGATAAACAAGACTATATTTTTTATCGTACTGACTTTAGTAATGACGACCGAGGCTAGCCTAAAATTAAATCACTAATATCTCAGTTCAGAGTGAAGCAATTTGACTGAAATTTACAGCATATGTTTCCATTATCTATTTTTTAACTACCGGGTATTATAGCGAGAACTGCCATCTCTTTATCTTATCTCCCATAATGACCCTTTAAAGATACATTATGGGAGATAAAATAAAGAGATGGCAGTTTTCGCTATAATAGTTAAAAACTAGATAGTGTAAAGGTAATTTGCTGAAAATTTCAGTCAAATTGATCCACAATGAGCCGAGAAAGAAGCGGGTGAAATTTTTTCGCATAGTCTCGGTCATCATTACTAAAATCATTAATATAAACAGCATAGTCTCGATTATCCACTTTTTTTATTTAATTATCAATGGCCGTTAGCGGCATATAGGAATCTAATCCAGCCAACATCCAAGGCTAGCCTTGACATCGAGAGTTGATTATGGTCTGGATAAGTTAATTAATTTCTAATTGATAATTTAGATAACATTTCAGGCCTAAAGAAAGACTTGTAATAAGCAGATTTTGCTCTTGCATAATGCATGTTTAAGATTGTTTTCGTACCTTGTCCTAATGTGTAAGATTAGTAAGGACTACTCCCCTACTAACCACTATATACTGTAGATCATAGACTATTACGTATTGTCAAGTATAAATAGGTCAAGGTCACAGTCGAATACCTCTGTCTGTGATACGTATCACACTCTGTGGAATTTCTTATTCAATACGCATTTTCAATATTTCGTATGATTAAAATCTGATGAATGACGACAAATTATTCTGGCTTGGATCTTGTTACTTTAATACAACAGGTAAAGGTAGGGGTAACGTAGAAAAAATCTTCACAATTCTATTAAAACTTCACTACAGATTCAATTAAGATAGGAGAGAAAGAGAGAGAGAGAGAGAGAGAGAGAGAGAGAGAGAGAGATCTAGGTCACTGTGGTCTAATTTCTATATAAATCAGACACTAGAAACAAGTGAATACAGTTTTCATCTACCAGTGTCATGGTGTCTAGATTTTACTCTGTTTGACTTCGACATGGTACAAAGCTTGTCTCAAAACTTGTCTCAAATTGTTTTATTTAAACTATATCCTTTAATTCATTTACATAGAAAACCCTCTATGTAAACAGGGGCTGGGCTATATTTATAAACAGGGGCTAGGCTGTATTTAATAGGGTATAAAACCCTCTAGTTTTAAACAGGGGCTAGGCTGTATTTAATAGGGTATAAAACCCTCTAGTTATTAACGTCTACAAGACACAAACTAGGTCATTTCGGGACTAACATATGGTTCAATTTTATTTCAACGATTCGCTTCCGTGTAGGGGTCTTTAGCCCAGGATGGAAACCAGAGGACCCGGTAAAAACCCACGAGGTTGGACAGGCGACCCTACTCCTTGTCACGTACAACCGGGGAATAATTGGTAAAAGTACAAATAGTTTTATAATTTAATAACAAGATATTTAAAGATCTCGTCTTACCTGTTGAATGGGACTTTGAGCCTGGAATAATATTCTTCGACTAAGTAACTCTGCGAATATACAACCCACGGACCATATATCTACACCGGAACTGTAATGTTTGGCACCCATTAATATCTCTGGTGCTCGATAATATTGCGTGACAACCTCCTGGGTCATATGAACTGATTCATCAGGTTCTTCAATTCGAGCTAAACCAAAATCGCAGATCTGAAATAATAACGCAAATTATGAGATAAGAAATAATGTAATTAAAAAAAAGAGAGAGAGAGAGAGAGAGAGAGAGAGAGAGAGAGGTCACTGTGGTTTAATAGAGAGAGAGAGAGAGAAATGGGGTTCAACCTACACTCGACACAGACTAGGTCATTTCGGGACTAACATATGGTTTAATTTCATTTCAATAATTCACTTGCGCGTAGGGGTCTTTAGCAGTGTTAGGAAACAGGAGGACCCAGAGAAAACCCACCAGGTTAGACAGGCTACCCTACTCCTTGTCACGTACAACCGGGGATTCGAAACCACACCAGTTGACTCAATAACAGGCCTTATGATACAGCGCACGTGCTAACCGTTCGACCATCCAACCCCCATGAGATAATAAATAATGTAATTAAAAAATATAAAATGCCAGAAAGTTAAGTTCCTACATGACACTTTTCCTTTTCGGGTTCACACCTTTCCTGTGTCATATCTCGGGAGTCATAAATAGGGGCTCAGTGAGTAGGACGTTGACTCGCTAACCTTGAGGTCCTGTGTTGGATCCCTGCATTGTCCGACAAAGTTCATCAGGATTTTCCAGCATGGTTCTCCGTTATCAGTTGAGTAAGACGGAGGGCATGGGAAGGGACAGCATAGTCGTTCAGATGGGAGGAAAAAACGAGGGCATGGGAAGGGACAGCATATAGTCGTTCTGATTGGAGGAAAAACTGGGGTTGTGGCATGCACGTAAAAGAAGCATTGACATTTGGAACTCAAAATAAAAGTAGGCCATAGAGCCGCTGTCCGGGCAAAATTTCCCTCATAGCAGCACACGTATGCCGTATGCCCGTCTTCGTTGAATCAGAACAGTAAGACATTAAACTAAACCCCATTTCATAATCACGTGTCACATCTCAAACTAGAACAACGTATTCTCGAACTTAAAAAACATTTTAATAATTAACAAATAAAAGGGCTGTCATTTTACGAGAAATTTTAAATTTATTTCTAAATTGATAAAAACCCATCTGTTGTACACGTGTACCGGAAGACATTTGTGACCATGGCATAACAAAAATGTTTTTTTTTTTAATCACAAATTGTAGGCTAATTATTTTTTGATTTGTCTGGTTGGTGTATTGTGATGAATGGTGTGATGGATAATATGAGACAGTATTTTAATACAATATCTCCCGGCAATATTATATAATTTAACAAGTCTCATATTCATGTCAGGCTGCATGATAGAAACTTAAAAATCCATTATTGTCATCGTCAATCTGACAGAACTTTCTGCACTATAGAAGATAGGTTGCCAGGCAACGAAACATACGCCCACAGCAGCAGCAGTCAACAAGGGCTGTCGCATATTTTTCTTTTGTCAGTAATGAAAACATTTACAACACGAGTAACAACCCCTTAAATAATTGTCAGAAATCATTAGAATTTGTTTCGATTGTTTGTCTCAGGACCGTAAAGATACATTATGTAAGATTTAGATAAAGAACTACCCATTCTTTCTATAATAGTTCGAAAGTAGATGATGTAAAATGAATAATTTGAAAATTTCATTCAAATTACTCTATTGCAAGCGAAGATATTAGCCTTTGAAGGTTTGACAGACGTGTGCAATAATTTCAACCACCGTACTGGTTGATCGAAGCTAAGTCTCGGTCCTCCATATTTGATTAAATCAAAGTATCGCTGAACCATGCTAATCTTTTTAATATCGGAGAAATCTGATGCCATCGAGAGTTGATTAAGGCCTGGATCAGTTAATTAATGTCTAATTAATACTTTAGAAAACATTTCAGGCCTAAAGAAAGACCTGCAATAGGCAGATTTTGCTCTTGAATAATGTATGTTTAAACACTGTGTATCAATTTAAAGTCAATCAGATATTAACTTTAGCCTCTAGAGTGTCCACAAGATTTTTTGAAGTGATCAAGGGCTATAACTCTGGCAGTAATTATCGAAAATCACTGAAAATGAATAGACTTCTTTGTCTCATGACCTTAAACACTGTGTATAAATTTAAAGTCAATCGGATATTGACTTTAGCCTCTAGAGCGTCCACGGACAGAAGCGATGACAATATACAACCACATATGACTGAAATCATAGATCCTTCAAGTGGGGTTCTCAACTCTGCTTCGCAGAATATAATTTTTACTTTTTCTATTTGTCAGTCACTAATAATTAAAGATTCTGAAAAGGGTATCATTGCATCAAGAATTAAGCCCGATTTCCATGTACACGTTTACGCAAGTTACATGGAAACGGTCTCATTACGTTTGCATTAGACTGACTTTTTTCGCTGGCAAAAACGTGTGTGGAAAAGCCGCAAAAATGCATACCTGGAAAACAGACCTATAAGTTTGTAATCGATAGAAAAAATGTCAGTGTAACAAATTAAATTGATCGAGCCTCAAGGTGTTATTGTGGGTGGCCTACTAACAATGTTTCTAGTCAGCCTAGTACAATCTTTAGTATAATTTAATATAATCACCAATTTTATCTTCATGCCTTTAGGCCGATATTTCTATATAATATGGTAAAATTAACAAAGTTCAAATAAAATCTATTCATAAACTCAGGACGGTGTGGAGCGTAGTGTAGCCTATATAATATGGTGTATCACTTAGTCTGTTTAAGACAATAAAAGTTCGTTGATTGTGGATTAGTATTTATCTATGCATTATTCTTTTTCGACATTTCTTTTCTTTTATCTCAAACAATACTGTTTAAGACAATGAAAGTTTGTTGATTCATACATCAAGCTAGCTATCGTTGTGCTTTGTATTTTTATGATTTTAGTTTCTTTGTGTTGGTTTTTGTTCTACTAAATAAATTATAAAAATATAGAACAACTTTCAATATAAATCAATGTTTTCTATGATTATTGTTTTGAAGTTTTAATGTGATTCTAAGATATGATGTTACACACTGTAATTAGAGACAGAGAGAATTGGGGTTTTAACGTCCACTCGACACAACTAGGTCATTTCGGGACTAACATATGGTTTAATTTTATTTCAATAATTCGCTTGCGCATAGGGGTCTTTAGCAGTGGGAGGAAACCGGAGGACCCGGAGAAAACCCACGAGGTTGGACAGGCGACCCTACTCCTTGTCACGTACAACCGGGGATTCGAAACCACGCCAGTCGACTCAATGACAGACTTTATGATACAGCGCACGCATGCTAACCATTCAGTCATCCAACCCCCCACACTGCTAATATAATGTGAACTATGTACTACGTCGTTCTTGTTGATTTTTAAATAAAAAACAAATTACTATCAATTTCTGTTTTTGGAAATCTTTATATTTCATCCCCAACAATACCCGAGCTTGCCCTACATGGTGTTAAATAATTGTACAGTCTGGGATTTTATGTCATAGACCAGGGGAGATGACGGATGAATGAATGAAATGAAATATCGTTTTTGTTGATTTTTAAATAAAAAACAAATTACTATCGATTACTGTTTTTAGAAATCTTTATATTTCATCCCCAACAATACCCGAGCTTGCCCTACATGGTGTTAAATAATTGTACAGTCCGGGATTTTATGTCATAGACCAGGGGAGATGACGGATGAATGAATGAAATGAAAGAGTTTAATGTCCTAGTTTTCTGTACTAGCAGGACTAATGAATATAGGAGATGACAGATCATGTGACATAAGCCAACAGATAGGTCTGTCAAACTTTCAGATTAATCTAACCAAGTAATATGACCAGTATTGTAGATATAGTCACAATCATGTTGTAATATGTAATTTGTACTTATTGTCATATACCATCATGTTATAATATGTAATGTGCAGTTATTGTGCAATATACCTTCATCTTGTTATGTAATGTGTAGTTATTGTGATATATACCATCATGTTGTAATATGTAATGTGTAGTTATTGTGATATATACCATCATGTTGTAATATGTAATGTGTAGTTATTGTCATATACCATCATGTTATAATATGTAATGTGTAATTATTGTCATATATCATCATGTTATAATATGTAATGTGTAGTTATTGTGATATATACATGTACCATCATCATCATCATCTTGTTATGTAATGTGCAGTTATTGTGATATTAGATCATGTAATATTTTAAAAAGAAATGGGGTTTAACGTCCTACGGTTCGTAACATTTTGAGGATTAGTAGTGATCTGTTTGTCTATACAGTAGACATTAGCTCGGCTGACAGACGGGGAGTTCGCGGTATTCCCTCTCATTGGTTAGAGAGAGAGAGAAATGGGGTTTAACATTCACTCAACACAAACTAGGTCATTTTGGGACTAACATATAGTTAAATTTTATTCCAATAGGTCGCTTGCGCTTAGGGATCTTTAGCAGTGGGAGGAAGAGGAAACCGGAGGAAAAGATGTGGTTGGACAGGCAACCATACTCCTTGTTACATTTAAGTGGGGAATCGAAACCATGCCACTTGACTCAATAACAGACCTTATGATTTTAAATGCCCATGTTAACCCACTAGACCACCCAACCCTTCTTGCATGCTGAAGCTTATATGGGCGGACTTCAGATTTTTGTCTCATCCTAACCACTAGGCAACGATGATTTTCTTCACAATGAAATGCTATTTACCTTTAAGCAGCAATTACTGTTGACTAATAAATTGCCTGGCTTAATATCTCGATGTAAAACTCTCGCAGAGTGGAGGTACTTTAAACCTAAAATAAAAAAAAAAACAATTGTAAAACAATCGAATATCAACTACATAAATAAATAAAATAACATTGGTAGGTTCCACTCACTAGGTTGTTGACTGTTATTAACCGTATATACGAATGAAACCAGATCCCAGTTAGAAATATTTTCAATTGGCCGGGGTTCGTCTTCATTATCCAGACTTATAATTTACTGAACATCCATGCCTATTCAATTCAATGTGTTTTGTCTTGATTATCCAGACTAATGAAATGAAATGGGGTTTAACGTCCTACTGTTCTGCTCCAAACTGGATTAATGAAGACGGGCATATGCCATACAGTGTGCTATGAGGGAAATTTTGCCCAGACAGCGGCACTAAGGCCTACTCTTATATCATATTCCAACTATCAAGGGATCTTTAACATGCACGCCAATGTGTACACGAGACCTCGGTTTGTCATCCCACCCGAACGACTAGACAGCTGTCCTTGTCAGGCCCCCCCATCCTGCATCACTGACAAGGGAGAATCACGCCGGAAAATTTGGATGAACATTCATGGCCAATGCAGGGATCAAACACCCGACCTCCAGGCTAGCGAGCCAGCATCTTACCCACTTAGTCACCGTGACCCCCAATTGTAGACAGACTCGCGTATGTTTCATAAGCACTCAAGCAAAAAAATATGTAAGAAAGAGAGAGATGGGGTTAAAGGTCCACTTGACACAAACTAGGTCATTTTGGGACTAACACATGATTAATCTTCATTTTAATAATTGGCTTGCGCGTGGGGGTCTTTAGCAGTGGAAGGAAACTAAGAGGACACAGAGAATACCTATGAGGTTGGACAGGCGACCCTTCTTCCTCCTTGTTAAGTAACAAGCAGGGATTTGAGACCACGCCAATTGACTCAATGAGAGGCCTTATGATACAGCACGCACGTGCTAACCATTTGACCATCCAAACACCCCCCCTCCCGCTGACCTTGTGATCCAAAGTGCATGCGTTAAATCACTCGCCCACCCACCCACCCCCGCCTGCTATGTAAGAAAGAGTTACTTACCCCTGAGTATTTGGTAGAGAAAGACTTTGACATGGTCGGATGTAAGTGGCTGCGGTGATACGATTATTTTATGAAGATCACTTTGTAGTAATTCCGTCACAACATAGCTAATGCACAATTAAAGATTAATAAAGATAAAAAAAAACCCAATTCATTTGCATACAAACGTTTAGCGAGATCAAGTGGAACCATTTTTCGAAGTAATTAACAAATTAATGGATAGGTTTTTTTTAACTTCCACTAAACAACTTTCCATTAACGACCCATAAGCTTTATAATATGTACATTTATGGCCAGAAATTCCCTCGACACATCTGAAATGAGTTGTTGGAATACATTACACATTTCGCTTATTGAATTGTTATTTAAATGATATGGATGTCGGTGGTGGTAGATGGCGATGGCGGGACTGTATTTAGATTTTTGACACTTTTTCCATCCAGGGTTTTATTCATAGAATGTAAAGCTTAAATATAATTACCAAAAAAAAACCCAAGATCTTTTCTTTTTTTTTATTTACGATCAGTATTCAGTATTTAATTGTAATTTGAAACAAATACAGTTCCTGAGGAAATAAATTTAAACCATGAATATAATTTTTCCTGTGTCATTTGATTTTTTTTTGTTCCCTCTCAGGATATCGATAATTTCTTTATTGACTAAAATATGTATCGTTATGGAGATAATTTGTGAATAGGGGGCTTGTGGTAATACTCTATTATAAAGTTACCATTGTGAATGCGGAGAGGTCGGTGATATGCATAAAAGTGAATTTTCAAATTAGTTTTCGTAGTTTATGCACTAATAAAATTTATAAGATTTTTTAAGTTGATTTAAGTGTTAAACATACATTATTCAAGAGGTAAATCTGCCTATTGAAGGTCTTTCTTTAGGCCTGAAATGTTCTATAATCTGTTAATTAGACATTTATTAACATGACAAGACCATATTCAACTCTCGACGTCATCTTATGTGTCAGATTTTCACTGGATTTGAATTCGATCTGCTGCTCAACGCTCCTTGATGATTAAATTTAAAAATGGATAATCGAGACTACTATGTTTTTTATCGTACTGACTTTAGTAATGATGATCGAGGCTAGGCTGAAAATTTAATAGCTCTACATTTTCGGTTCAGAGTGGATCAATTTGACTGAAAGTTTCAGCAAATTCCCTTTACATTATCTATTTTTTAACTATTATGAGAAATGCCAGCTCTTTATCTAATCTCCCATAATGTATCTTTAAATATTTATGGCTATGCTTTGTCAAAAAATAATATTTTAATCGGACCCTTCTTATGAAACCCTATTATCTCAACAGGAAAACTCTTTGTTACACAAAATCAACAGAGTTTCCTTAATATAGAGTATTTAGGGAGAAACCTTTTCCTCAAAACCCATTATTTGCTTAATACAGAATACTTCGGGAAATAAACCCTGTTTCCCCTCTCCCAGTACAAACACAATTAAATCTTTTCCTTAATGCTGAATAAAACGAAAAAACCCACAATTTTTCTACGGATAAAACCTATTTTCCTTGTACTTGAAACAGGGACGATAAAAAGGTGGAATTTTCCAAGCACAAATTAGACGAAGAAACGACAGCGAATAAACATTGTTCTTCCTGATTGTTCTATTGGCAATTTGTAAATTGACTGGAGAAGACAAGAGAAGTGAAATCATTATTTAACCATTTATTTAAACAAAAAAATTAAATTTACTTGTTCAAGAGTCAATAAAGCGAAAGTATCTGGTGTCTACTAATACAATAATCTATTTTCTCACCTTTCGAATTACAGGAAGATATCTTAGACCTATAGATTTTACAAATCACAAAACGTTCACATTAAATAAAACAATTTGTTTAAAAGTTCTTTGTGAAAGTACAATCTGGAAACAAGATATGAAATGAAATGGGGTTTAACGTCCTACTATTCTGCTCCTACTGGGCTAATGAAGACAGGCATACGCCATACAGTGTGCTATATGAGGGAAATTTTGACCGGGCAGTGGCGCTACGCCCTACTCTTATATCGAATTTCAACTGCCATGGGATCTTTTATGTGCACACCAATGTATACACAGGTTCTCGTTTTTTTACGTCCCATCCGAACAACTAGACAGCACCAATGACAAAGAGAAACCACACCAGAAAATCTCGAAGAACTTTCTCGGCCAATGCTGGGATCAAACACATGACCTCCAAGCTAGCTAGCCAGCCAGCCAGTATCTTACCCACTTATCCACTGTGACCCCCTGCTATATTAAATTCTATCTCAGGTATTATCAAATATTGTGAGCTATATAAACCTGGCATTGTTATCAACATCAATCAATATTCACGTAGCCTAAACACAATAATTATTGGCTTCACAAAAATATACAGCGGATAGAATAACAATCTACCCAGACGAATAAATTGAAGAATATTTATGAAAACTAAACGAACTATTGATGACTTCTGTTGTTTTTTCTCGTAACCCAGTACAAAGTTATTGTTGACAGTTTCTATCTAAATATTCCACGTTTTTAATTTTATCAATTATTTTTACATATACAATATGTTTAATTATATTTTTGTCTGGGTGAAAATTTCATACAGTAAATAAGTTTATCTACTCATCAATTAAAATGTCTAGAAAACCAAAATAATGTTATTCTTACAGATGCATTATGTAAGATTAAGATAAGAGAGAGAAATGGGGTTTAACGTCCACTCGACACAAACTAGGTCATTTCCGGACTAACATATGGTTTTATTTTATTTCAATAATTCGCTTGCGCATAGGGGTCTTTAGCAGTGGGAGGAAACCGGAGGACCCGGAGAAAACCCACAAGGTTAGACAGGCGATCCTACTCCTTGTTACATACAACCGGTTATTTGAAACCACACGCCAGTCGACTCAATGACAGACTTTATGATAAAGCGCGCGCACGCTAACCATTCGGCCATCCAACCCCCCTTATTCTGAGCGATGTTATGAGTGTTGGTAGATGTAGCGTAGATTGTTTATTATCATCGCAACAGTACTGGAGAAATAAAGACTTAGTCTCGATTATCCATTTTATTGTTAAAATTTTAAATCTAGCAGGCATTCTAATCCATTTAAATCTCTGCCATCCGATGCTCTAGAGAGTTGATTATGGGCTTGTCATCTGAATAAATATCTAAATAATAATTTATACATGTATAACATTTGAAGCCAAACGAAAGACCTGCGATAGGCAGATTTATCTCTTGCATAATGTATGTTTAATACTGGTAACTTTATCTGCTGATTTTTTGTGGGCTTTTGTCAAATGTTTTTGTTAAATGTTTTTACTTTACTTAGAATAGAAATACATGTAACTGCAATCCAAAGATGAAGACTAAACCGGAGTTGTTTTTAAAGTCATTCTTTTTTTAAATAATTTTGAATCAAAAGACATTCAATTTTTTCTGTGTTGTTTTCTGTGTTGTTTTCAAGAAGTTATTTCACCTGAAAAACTCTCGACAGCTTAATGTCAGTTTTATATAATGGTCCTGAGAGATACAAAACCTGTAAAACGATCATTAACGTTGTTGTGTTTTTCTTGTTTGAATTTTTTAAATGTAAACTACGTTACAAAAAGTAGAAGATACTTAAAATGCCTGACTGTACAATGTAGGTTAAAATAGAGAGAGAAAGAGAGAGAGAGAGAGAGAGAGAGAGAGAGGGAGAGAGAGATCTAGGTCACTGTGGTTTAATTTCTATATAAATCAGACACTAGAAACAACCTGAATACTACAAGTGTCATGGTGTCTAGATTTTACTCTGTTTGACTTCAACATGGTACAAAGCTTGTCTCAAAACTTGTCTCAAATTGTTTTGTTTAAACTATATCCTTTAATTCATTTACATAGAAAACCCTCTAGTTATAAACAGAGGCTGGGCTGTAATTTAATAGGGAATATTCAGGGTGAGAAAAAGAAAAATACCATGATAGGGGAGATTGAACACTTAACACTAATATATGTATATCAATTTTAAACTGTCAAGGGATCTTTTACGTGCACATGCAGATCTAAAGTGCATGTATTAGACCCCTCGACCTCCCCTATCTAACTCTACGATAAACTAGTCCAAGCATGCTGGCCTACTTGTAAACAGTTCATGATATAACATGACTACTCTCATAATAAAAATATTATATAGTTGTAATAGTTTCCATAAATTAACCCTGTCATTTGATATACAATTTATTGGTAGTAAACAAATTGCTTTTTAAAGAACCACATGTTCCAACTATAGTTTCTCTTAAAGAGGCCCAACACACACGGCCAGTGGTGTAAAAAGCCTTCCTCTTCTCCAGTGCGAAATTTCAAAAGTTTGTGAATAGATTATCCAGTCTTGAAATGATTTGTACGAGTTTACATAACAACCATGTGATTTTCACACTTCTCCGTTTAAAATAGTTTTTAGATCTGACTTGGGTCTATTCAATTTAGTCGTCGGGGCACATTTAGAAATTTTTAAGAAAATTGGCAGATGGCAACATGGCCTTATATAATTTGAATAAAATACTCTATGTGAGAGAGACAGAAATGGGGTTTAAAGTCCACTCAAAACAAATTGGGTCATTGTAGGAAAAACATATGGTTCAATTTTATTTCATTAATTCAATTACATGTCAATGTCTTTGGCAGTGGGAGGAAATTGGAGGACCCGAAGAAAACCCACAAGGTTGGAAGACATTATGTACATTTAATCAATTAGATTTATTTTCCTGCTAAAAGCAAACACCACTTTAATATCATACAAAACAAATTTAATCTTCTCAGAGTCTTTTGTTCGATTATAAACAATTTATTTCTTAATGTACATGACATCCTATGAATTGTGAATACTCAACACGTTTTCTCAAAACTTGGGGTTTTTTTTAAATTATATCCTAGTTTCAAGTAGACGAAAAAGATGATTGTAAATAATGACATGTAAAACTTATTCCCCGTTATAAATAAAGATTGTAGATGAAAGATTAGATTTATATGATAATTTAATCTAATTTAATTATGTTTTACTTGGTCTATCAAAATATCAGAATTATCGCGAACGTTAAAAACAATTTAGATATTGACTATTACCA